CTCTGAGACCTCAATCTTTTTATCAATAAACATCTCATTCCATTAACCTAGAGCTATACCCTTTGTTCCTGAGTTTCGGAGGAATGCATCCTTGGTCTGGTAGATCATAAAACACCCAGATCCGAGACAGGATAACCATTAACTCCTGGCCCTCGTATCTAAAAGAAAAACAACTTATAGACCATCAACTTTTGGTCCATATCTGGTCATTCGTAAAATGGCCAGGGTGTCATAAGATCTAGTCACAGAGTAACGACTCAATGTCTGAGCAAACTTAGAAACTGGGGATCAAAAGAAGTAAGGATATGAAGTGCTGTAAGTCCCACTTTTTCAGAGACACTTCGCCTTGTCTCACTGAATATGCTGAGAGCTTTGTACTGTTCTTTAAAATAAATCTTATTTGCTTGCTACTGTGGGTGTTTGTGTGTTCATGAAGTTCATTCTTCAGCTCCACAAACAAGAACTTAGGTTCTCATTTCAGTGTTAGTGGTAAAAAACTCGCCTGCCAATGCAGGAGGTCTAAAAGATACAGGTTTGGTCCATGGGTCAGGAAGATCCCCTGGAGAAGTGCATGGCACCCCACTCCAGTATTTATGCCTGGAGAATCTCATGGACAGAGGAGCCTGGCCACAGTCCATAGGTTCACAGGGTTGGACACGACTGAAGTGATTTAACATGTTTTCACATGTTAAACATGATTTAACATGTTTACATGTATCAAATTGTGAAATGTTTACTGCAGTCAAGTTTGTGAACATATCCTTCATTTCACATATTTACCATTTTGTAGCTGCTATTTCAGTGAGACGTTTAAACTCTATACTCTCATAACAAATTTTGTGTTATACAATACTGTATTGTTAAGTATGGTTACCATGTTGAACATTATATCTCTTGAACTTAATCATCTTAAAACTGAATGTTTGTATTCTTTGACTAACATGTCCCAGTTTACCTCACCTCTCAGCCTCTGGCAATAATCATTCAACTCTTTGTTTCTGTGAGTTTGATGATTTTAGCTTCTATATATAAGTGAGATCACATAGTAGTTGTATTTCCTGTTCGACTTATTGACACTTAGCATGATGCCCTCAAGGTCCATCCATGTTGACACACATGACAGGATTTTTGTCTTTTTTACGGAAGTGTAACGTTTCACTGTGTGTGTGCCTGTGTGCATACCTGTGTGCGTCTCATGTTTCCATTGTCCATTCATCTGCCAGTGGGCGCTTGACTTATCTTCATGTGCTGGTTATTGTAAATAATGATGCAAAGAACATGGGGATGCAGCTCTCTCTTCAATATGATGACTTCATTTTTTTCAGATACACAACCAAAAGGGGGAATGATGAATCATATGGTAATTCTATTTTTAATTTTTTGGGGAACTTCCATACTGTTTTCCATAATGGCTGTACTGATTTATATTCCTACCAACAGGTCACCAAGTTTCCCTTTTCTTCACATCCCAGCTAGCATTTGTTATCTCTTGCTTTGATAATAGTCATTCTAAGAGGTATGAGATTAAAATCTCATTGTGATTTTGGTCTGCAATTCCTTAACAATTAGTGATGTTGAGCAGTTCTTCTTCTTATTCTTATTGACCATTTCTTTGTTTTCTTTGGGAAAATGTCTCTTCAAGCTCTCTGCCCTTTTTTAAATCTGATTGTTAGATTTTTGTTACTGAGCTTTATGAGCTCCTTACATATGTTGGATATATTTTCTCATTCAGTAGGTTGCCTTTCTATTTTGATTGTTTCTTTTGCTGTACAGAAGCTTATTGTTTTGATGTAGTCTCACTTGCTGATTTTTGCTTTTATTGCTTGTTCTTTTGGTGTCATATTAAAAAAAAATCATTGTCAAGACCTGTAATAAAGAGTTTTCTCCCTATGTTTTCTTCTAAGAGTTTTACAGTTTCAGGTCTTCCCTTTAAGTCCTTAATCCATTTTGAGTTAATTTTTGTAAGTGACATAAATTAGGGTTTCAGTTTCATTCTTTGGCATGTAAATATTCTTTTCCCAAATCCACTTATTGAAAACACTAGCCCTTCCCTGCTGAATACTCTTGGCTATCTGGTTGAATGTTTATTGATCCTGTATTAGGTTGGCCAGAAAGTTTGGTTGGGTTTTACCACAACATCTTATGGAAAAACCCAAACACACTTTTCAGGCCAACACAAAAGATGTGGACTTAGTTTTAGACTTTTGATTCTGTTCTGTTGGTCTCTGTGTCTGTTTTTATGCATGTATTCTGAATCTTTAGTGAATTTGCTTTTAGGTTTTTTTTTGGTCTTGTCTTGAGAATTTATATTTTCAAAATTAGGTCACCAGCAACCAAAGATATTTTTACTTCTTCTTTTCTGATTCAGATGGCTTGTAGTTCTTTGTCTGATTTAATTGCCCTAACTAGGACTTCCAATGCTCTGTTGTATAAGATTGGTGGAAATGGACATCTTTATCTTGTTTCTGGTTGCAGTTTTCAGCTTTTCACCATTGTATGTGATGCTGACCAAGGGTTTGTCATATATGGCCTTTATTATGTTGAGATATGTTGCTTCTCTACCCAATTTATTGAATTTTTATCATGAAAAGATGTTAATACTCTTGTCAAATCATTTTTTTCTAAATCTATTGAGATGACTCTATGAATTTTGTCTTTTATTCTATTAATGTGGTGTGGCATGTTTTATATATGCTGAATCATCCTTGCATCCCAACAGTAAATCCCATGTGATAATGGTGAATAATCCTTTTAATGTGCTATTAAATTGGGTTTGCTAATATTTGGTTGAGAATTTTTGCATCTCTATTTATCAGGGTTATTGGTTTATAGATTTTATTTTCTCCTATCTGGCTTTGATATTAGGATAATGCTAGCCTTAGAAAAGAAGTTTAGAAGTGTAACATCCTCTTCATTTTGGGGTGGGGGAGTTTGAGAAGAATTGGCATTACTTCTTTAAATGAGGAGCCTGGTGGGCCACTGTCCATGGGGTCGCAAGAGTAGCACACACCTTAGCAACCAAATCACCACCAGCACCACTTCTTTAAATGTTTGGTAGAATTCTCCTAGGAAGCCATCTGGTCCTGAGCTTTTCTTTGTTGGGAAGTTTTTGATTACTAATACAGTCTCTTTTCTTGTTACCGGTTTATTCATATTTTCTGTTCCTTCATGAATAGAAGTAACAAACTACCTTCAGTTTTGGTAGTTTGTATGTATTTTGGAGTTTATCCATTTCTTCTAGTCTGGTCAATTTTTTGGTGTTTAATTGTTCATGGTAGTCATGTGTGATTCTTTGTAGTTTGGTGGTATCAGTTGTAGTGTGTCCCTTATTATTGATATTTATAATTTCATTTGAGTCTTTTTTCTTGCTAAGTCTAGATAAAGATTCATCAATTTTGTTTATTTTTTCTTTTACTTTTCCATTTTTTCTGGTCCCTATTTTATTTATTTCTGCTCTGTTCTTAATTATCTCTTTCCTTCTAAAATTTGAGCTTAGTTTATTCTTGTTTTTATTTCTTGAAATGAAAGCTTGTTTATTTGACATATTTCTTTTTTCTAAATGTAGCAATTTATTACTATAAAGTTTTCTTTTAGCAATGCTTTTTCTGAATCTCATAAGGTTTGGTATGTTGTGTTTCCATTTTTATTGGTTTTATTATATTTTTTAATTTCCCTTTTGATTTCATCTTTGGCCCATTTGCTATTGAAGAGTGTAGTGTTTAATCTTCACATATCTGTGAATTTTTCAGTTTTTCTCTGTTATCTATTTCTAATTTTATACTATATGGTTGGAAAAGATGCTTTGTAAAATTTTAGTCTTTTAAAATTTGCTGAGACTTGTTTTGTGACCAAAGATATGTTCTATGCTCAAGAGTTCTTCATGTGTGTTTCAGAAAAATGTAAATTCTGCTCCCATTGGATGTAATATTCTATATATGTGTCTCAGATCAATTTGATCTAAATATAGTGCAAATTCAGTTTTCCTTTTATGAATTTTCTGTCTGGATAGCTATACATTGTTTTATGTGGGTATGGAGTTTCCTACATTATTTTATTTTTGTCTATCACTTCCTTCAAATACGTCATTAGTGCTTAATATTCTTAGTACAGATATTATGATGATAAGTACATATATTTATAATTATTGTATCTTCTTAATGAATTGTTGTTTTTGAGTCACTCAGTCATGTCCAACTCTCTGTGACCCAATAACTGCAGCATGCCAGGCTTACCTGTGCTTCACCATCTCTTGGAGTCTGCTTAAACTCATATTCATTGAGTCATTGATGCCATCCAGCCACCTCATCCACTGTTGCCTCCTTCTCCTCCTGCCCTTGATCTTTCCCTGTATCAGTTTCTTTTACAGTGAGTTGGCTCTGTGCACCTGGTGAACAAAGTATTTGAGCTTCAGCGTCAGGCCTTTCATTGAATATTCAGGGTTGAGTTATTTTAGGATTGACAGGTTTGATCTCCTTGAAGTCTGAGGGACTCTCAAAAGGCTTCTCCAGCACCCACAGTTCAAAGCCATCAGTTCTTCTGCACTAAGCCTTAATTATGGTCCAACTCTTACATCCATATAGGACTCTTTTATAATTATAAACTGACCTTCTTTATCTCTTGTTATAGTTTTTGAATGTATTTTGAATAAAATATAGTTATATTTTTGATATATAGGTATATAAACACTTTGATATATTTTGAATAAAATACATCTTGTTTGGTTCAAGTATAGCTATTCCTGCTCTGTTTTCATTTTTATTTACATACAATTTATTTTCTACCTATTTACTTTGATCCCCTGTGTGTCCTTGAAACTGAAGCAAATACTTGTAGGCAGCACCTGCTGGGCCTTTTTTAAAAAAAAGTTATTTTTAATTGGAGGATAATTGCTTCTGTTGGTTTCTGCTGTACAGTGAAGTGAATCAGCTATATGTATAGATATATTCCCTCCCTCTTGGACCTCCTTCCCACTCCACTCCCTATTCCAACTGCACAGAAGCATGGCCGTGAGGAGCTACCCCTCGCCCAAGGTCGGGGTAGCGACTGAGAGGACCAGGCTGCGGCAGTGCAGGAGCGGCCGAGAGGAGCTTCCCCACATCCGAGGTCAGGAGTGGCAGCTGAGAGGAGCTTCCCTTCACCCGAGGTCAGGGGCAGCGGCTGAGAGGAGCTACCCCACCTCCAAGAGTGGCTGCTGTGTGTGTGCAGGAGAGCTGAGAGGAGCCACTCCATGTTCAAGGTCAGGAGGGGCGGCCGTGAGAAGATACCCCTCGTCCAAGGTAAGAGAAACCCAAGTAAAATGGTAGGTGTTGCAAGAGGGCATCAGAGGGCAGACACACTAAAACCATAATCACAGAAAACTAACCAATCTGATCACAGGACCACAGTCTTGTCTAACTCAATGAAACTAAGCCATGCTGTTTGGGGCCACCCAAGATGGACGGGTCATGGTGGAGAGGTCTGACAGAATGTGGTCCACTGGAGAAGGGAATGGCAAACCACTTCGGTATTCTTGCCTTGAGAACCCCATGAACAGTATGAAAAGGCAAAAGGATAGGATACTGAAACAGGAACTCCCCAGGTCGCTAGGTGCCCAATATGCCACTGGAGATCAGTGGAGAAATAACTCCAGAAAGAATGA